AAGAATTCCAAGCTATGCTTCCTGTCTGACTTGGCTGGAAGAGCATAATCTGTGAGGGCTGGGATATATGGATCTGTGGTAGAGCATTCACCTAGCTTGATGAAGGCCCTGCTCCACAAATAAAACCAAAATACAACCAAACAAAATGAATAAAAAAGGTGCAGCCCATGATGGAATTTTCTTTAGCAGTTTTCTTGCTGCCTTTATGTATTGTCCTTCTGTTTCCTAAAGCAGTTCTCAGAAATGATAACTCCATTTTGAAAACAGCTCTTCTGATCTTACAAGCAGATGTTTATCAGCTGCACCACTGAGGTAATCAATTGTGCAGGGATCAACTAGGAGACCTGTGGCAACAATTAGGCTGAAGGATGATCAGTGCCTGTGCCTAGCTTCCTCTGTACACCCAAAGGGTGCCTCTAGGTCCTTGACACCACTGTGGATGGTGAACAGTCTTTCTCCAGCCAGGGGTACAGGAAGGATGTTGCTCTGCTTGATTGTTATCTGCGCAGTTGGCTTCACTTTGGTGACTTGGGGAGGGAAAAGATGTTCTCAAAGATCAACCTTGTTCCTTGGCCATTTCCCTTGATAATTTCTCAAATCCAGTGGGAGTGAAAGAGATCAAGTAATGCATCTCTAGTTTCACAGATAACAAACTAGGACGTGAATCTAGGTCCACACCTACAGCGGATGCTTTTATTTGTGATGGCAGACTGCCTCATGGGACCTGTCGATTCCCCTGTTGAGAAGCCCAACACTGCGTTTTTGGTGACAGATTCCCCCCCCTCAGCTCCCTAATACTTGTAGAGGTTATTCACAGAAGCTGAACCTAGAAGCCTGGTTGAAGGACGAGCCTCATCCACCCTCATTTCTACTGTCTTCCTGTCAGAGAGATGAGAGTTTCCTCTTGGCAGTCTGTAACCAGGCAGGTTCTTCCATTTCACTGGTAGTAGTTACTGGGGTGCCTTTATGTGCACCCATATTCTTTCATGCCATGAAGCCACCCTGTTAGCACCTTCCACACTCAAGTTCAACAGACTTAAAATTGAACACACCAGAGAGCAATAATCACATGGTTTTTTGAGTTGCTTTTGTTTTTGCAGTCCTCTTTGTGTGTGTGACACTGTCGCCCTCTGTGCTCTCTGTCCAGAGATAGGTTGAGCGAGAACTCTGATGCTTGAACCTCATTAGAATCATGGACATGCTTTTGGCTCACTTAGCTTCTAAAACCAATAGAGGCTGCTATTTGGTATTTTAGAATATATCACACTGATTCCTCCAGGCCCACCATGACGATCAAATCTGGAGCTGCAAATGCACAAATCTGCTCAGTTACAGCTCATCAGTCAGTCCCTCGTAAGTATTTGGAGACAGAGATTTATTTAAATTTTGAATTGGTTTAAAAACTCACATTGGCAAGTTATACTTTTAAACTTGACTGGCTCATTTAACATCTGTAATGTCACATCTGCTTCTGCCTGGAGCTGCAGCCAGAGCGGAAGTGGTCTCCTGGCTTCACACACTCATGATAATGGCTCCTCTTCTCCAGCTCCCCACTGTGCTGGGAGTGGGCCGCCGGGAGCTTTCTGGGGTGAAGATGCGGAGCCTTCCACTGCGGGCACTGGGCAGAGATTTCCTGAATGGCTGTAGTGCAGTATACTACCCGCCTTACTGAATTTAAAGTGGAAACCACGTAAAAACCAGTCTCACCTTGTTATTAACCTTTATAACATGCAGAAACTCTCAGAATAAGTCTGAGGACAAAATTAGTCACTCCATGAATATTAAATATGGTTATTATTCTTGTTTATAAATAAGGGATGAGATGTTGAGATATATTATCACTTCCATATTACCTCCATAGGGGCTCCCATGAGGTGAAGCTATTTAATGTATTTTGATATTAAAATGATGGTTCTCGTGGATACTGTGTTTACCCGCTTCTCCGCCTCATGCCAATGTTTCACATAGTGTGCTACGCAAGGCTTTCCATTTTTATTTCATCCTCCTTAAGGTCCTGTGAGGCATGTATCATAATTCTCCATGTTTTATAGATGTTGAAATTGAGGTTTAAATGGGCCATCACTTCCAAGGTCTCTTTTTGCCTGTAGATCTAGGGTTCAACATCCATACTATTTATATTCTATTATATTTCAACTGAGATACTTTATCTCCTTAATTTTCCTCCCTATAAAATTAAGATATCTTCATTGCAAAAAATTTAGAAAACATGAATAGCTTTTTATCACAGGGAACATTCAACAGGTATTATCCTCTTAACACCTTTTAGTGTACAACGTAGCATTGTTTCCTAAAAGCACATATGCAGCAGGTCTTTTGCTTTTGTGACTGCCCTTCAGACTGGTTGAGGAAGCAACCGGAGATGTTGAAAGATTGGTTGGGTCCCATGGAACGTGTAAGCACAGCAGACGCTTGGCTAGAAGGCCCCTTCCTCTACACCATGTGCAGTGTGCCTTGGTCCTGGCAGGCTCCCCTTCTTCTGTGAGATAAATTAATATCCCTGCCAGCCCAGAGAACCACTGGAGGCCACCGAGTTTAACTGTGTCATGAGCCCTCTGTAGCAGGGAGCGGAGTCAGGAAGCTGTGGCCTGGGCTCTGTTCCCAGGATGGCAGCAGCGCTGGCCCTGAATCCACATTGGCTTCTTCTGCGAGCTCAGTGATTCTCTCTACAGAAAAGCACACACAGATACATGTGCCAGCCGACTTAATTAAACGCCTTCTCTACTCAAGTGGTGACTGTGGACAAGGAATAGAAGCTCTAGCGAATTATCAGGTTTTGATTTTGTTGCTTTTCAGCTGGTTGCTTGGGGATCTTTCTGGCTTGTGGCTTCTTTTAGGAGTGACTTGGAGGGAAGAGAGGTTAGAATGTGATTAGGCATGAAATTACGGGAGTGCTCCTGGGGATCACATGCCATGCCAATGGAGTTTCACAACCATGCCATCCATCGCAGTCTGCAGTTCTGTGAAGTTGCATATCTTAGGTGTCTACGAGTTTCCGAAATTCCCTTTTCCCACCTCTGTTTTGCAGGGTTGTTCTAGGAGCCCAAGTGTCTCCTTTGGGTATCTTTTAGAAAACAGCAAGAGACTATCTTCATTTTTGTCCAGGACCATAGCTTAGCTGAAAGTTTGAAGCTCTCTAGTCTTTTCTCATTTTAAGTAACATATTCTGGTCCCAGGTGCTTGCTAAAGATTATTTTCTTCTGATTATTTCTTCTGATGCTTATTACCAGAAGATGCTGTCAGTAAAACAGATGACACAAATGCAATTCATTTCTTCTTAGAATCTGGTGGTTTAAGGAAAGCGTTGATAGGAAACCAAATATCTCCTGGTGGGTTTTGATGATGGTTTTTACTGTGTGATACAACTTATTAATGAGTAAGTCTTCTTCCTATTATTCCGCAGGGCTCTTGCTAAACTGCAGCCTAGGTGCTGCCCTCGCCCTGTCCATTTCTGATCACCTTCAGCTGTTGACAGAGTGGGCTTCAAAGGCACAGAAGGAGGTGTGTTAACTACCCTCAGCCCACCAAAGAAAAATCAACTGAAAATACAGGCACGTCTAGCCTGACCTTTGATGTTACACAAAGCTGATGTCAAGTTCTAGACCACAAAGAATCGCTCGCTGTAAATGTGATTGAGATTCTTCCCATACTAAATTGTGATAATTTTTTTTTTTTGAAAAGTGAATTGTCAGTATTGTCTGGCTCTGCTCATTTACCCAGAATATGGTTTTCCAGTACCTTTAGAGAAGTACCCTAGATGTAAAGAAAGCCTTAAATTGTCCTGACTTGCTTGCTAGGTGAAGACTGTGCTGTTTATTTGAGACACTTGCTGAGTAACTCTATCTAGAGCCCAGGAGGGAGTGAGCTTTTCCTGGGCACTAGCACCCTCAGGATCCTCATGCCTCTCTGGTGACACACTGCGTTTCCCCTGCACTGATCTCCATAGCATAGGAGTACCCAGCTTTTGACCTGACCTGAGAATAGGGAGCCATTGGGCTAATTTTTATTATGTTTTTGCCTTTTGGTTTTTGAGATGAGATCTTGCTATGCAGTATGAGTTGGCTTGATCTGGCTGTGTGAACTCAAACGTGAACTCCTTCCGCCTCAGCTGTGGCATGGGGATGTGACAGATATGTGCCACCACACCCGGCTATAATGAGCTAACTAAAGAGGAATGATTATAGTGATACCTCAGACACTGAGCTGGCTATCTGGAGAGTTTATTTGGAGGAGGTTTATTGTTTTGTTTAGTCTAAAATAAAATGTTACATAACACTTTGAGAAAAAAAATTATTCTGAATCCTACCTACTGTGCAGTTATATACCATGTAACCTCTTTGACCTTTTCATGCATTTGTGCACATGAATTATGTTTTTATGTAAAGTGGATCATTGTTGTTTTGTTTTGAAATCTGTGGTTTCCATGTAACATTTCTTAACTCCATTTCACATTGATAAACAAGGTTCTTCATCTTTTTTGAGCACTGCTAGATAATTTTCCTAGTGGAAGAGAATTTTTCTCTCTTCTCCCTTGCTTTTGTTCTCCTCATTCTTCCCTGTTTTTTCCTCCCTTCCTTCACTGCTAATTCTGTTTTCCTTTTCTTCTGCATAATTTATAATTATATTTTGTTCTATTTTATTGTTTTCTTATTACTCCCTGTTACATTTTCAATATATTGGAGGCCATATTACAAATACTATGAAATAAAGAGGATTTTTATAGTTTTGGGCTATGCTGACTGAAGAACTTAAATTGAAATAATTTGTTTCCAACTTTTTTAGTGGTGGCTTTGTAATATTGTTTATCTAATTCTGTGAGACCGGGCATGGCATTATTTTTGAAAGCTTTTCCTATCCCCAGAAGGAAGGAATGACAAAGAGGCGAGCCATTATAATGAATGGTTATGATCTTTATTTAGGAACATGACAGTCTCAAGCCCTCTGTCACTTCTAAGTCTTGATCATTTATCTTGCTTTCCCAGACTCCATGACAACCCACAAAGATGGGCAAAACGAAGCCGACAGCACGCCTGAAGACATGTCTGTCAGCACCAGCAGGCTGCTCTACCACATCACTGATGGCGACAACCCGCTGCTGTCACCGCGATGCTCCATCTTCAGCCAAAGCCAGAGATTCAACCTAGACCCTGAGTCAGCCCCTTCTCCACCCAGTGCTCAGCAGTTTATGATGTAAGATGATCATATTTTATTATCTTCATTTCATGCCGCTTTTCAAATACCACATTTACAACCTACAATAGAACTTCTCTGAAGTAGTATAAACATAAATGCAAATGCAACTGTAGGGCCCAACCGATAAGGCAGATGTGGGTACTGCCTAGTTAAGAGTTCTGCTCGAGCATTTCGTAGTACAGGAGGAAATGGTCACAAGAGACTGGCCACTCCAAGCACTTGCCCTCTTTGGTGGAGGAACTAGAATCCTAAGTATTTATATGCAGATATCATGAGCATCACTCTTAGTTAGCTCAGTATTTTCCCGTGTCCCCCAGCAGAGTCACTGGATAGATGATGGGAACACTAGAGAACTGTCCACCTCAGTTTGGTCCTAGACTCTAGAAAAGTGGTGGCTTACAGTAGCTGCTTCTCCAGCTAAGTAGCAGTCTACCAGTGTGCGTTTCTGTCTGTGCAGCTCTGCTTTATCCGTTATCTATCTGTATCTCTAATCAGGTTCCTGCTTTCCTACACACTCCATTTAGAATTTGCCTTTGGGATTAGAATGAGATTACAGGGCTGGAGATATAGCTCAGTGGCATAAGTAACTGCCTGGCAAGCACAAGGTCCTGAGTTCAATCCCCCTTATCCCTCCCCTGACCAAAAAAGGAAAAAAAAAAAAAAAAAAAAAAAGAATGAGATTGCAGAACTATGTGTTCTTTATATTTGAGTCCCATGAATAATGGAGTTGAGAATCTGTTGATAAAATGATGCTTAGGGAATCCCTAGCTTTTCCTTCTTAACTGATGCCATTATTCTTGGATTTATCCCAAACTGCATTATCCTATAAAGGTGTGCCATGAAGCACATTCTCTGGAGGTGCCACTTGCTTTGTCACATTTGCAAAGGCTATGTCAAGAAAAGTTAACCACATATTTACGGTCTTCCTTGAAAATGTTGAGTCATGTTGAGAGTACTGCCTATTGAAGATAACACTTCACCAACCTCATCTCTTCTGAGTCTGAAATTGGCCTCTCAATGCTGTGAGAAATAAACTTCGTGCACTGATATTCTGGTCCTTGTATATTAGAGTCCCTGATGACATCGTGCCCATACTGAAGTCGGGTGTCTGCTTGGAAGAGCAGACACTACTTGGTAGACGCGTCTGATCCTGGGCAGCCCGGTGGACTCTTCAAAGCCTCCTGCTTTGCAGACCACATGGCAGTGCTTGCCAAGAGCTCACCATCCTTAGTGCTCTCCCCTCCTGCCCTTGCACAGGCCCCGAAGCTCTTCCCGGAGCAGCTGTGGCGACGGCAAGGAGCCGCAGACAATTCCTCAGCTCACCAAGCACATCCAGAGCCTCAAGCGGAAGATTCGGAAATTTGAAGAAAAGTTTGAGCAGGAAAAGAAATATCGGGTGAGGAATCTAAGGTTTAATGGGAAAGCAGAGTCTGTCAGAGGTGTGTGGATTTTCTTTTCTTTTTCAGTACGCCTCTGGCAGGGAGCAGTTCTTTTTCCACTGTCCAAAGAAGCACCCAGCACAGGTGGCCCTCCAATCCTGAGTCTGTCTTGTTCTTGTATTCTGTCAGTTTAGCTCTGCTGAGGTGTTTCCTAGTAATGGAACTTAAATAATCAAATAAACTTAGGGGATTATTCATTCCTTTTTTTTCCTTGAGGAGTCTTACTATCAGTAGTTTTCCTAGGACTGAAATTCGGAAAGCTATTGGATTATGGTCTCTTCAATTATGGTCTCTTGGTTAAGCTTTTCCCACTTGTATTTTGATGGAGACCTCATGGGCAGAGTCTCTAACTATGGAGTATAATCCAGGAGAATCTGTTTCTCTGACCTTAAGGTATTTACTGGTTGATGGGTGGAGATAATTCCGAAGTGACCTGTGTTAAGGCCCTGCCCAAGGACAGGCTGACCCAGTCTGTCCCATCAGAGGACCGCCAGCCTCTGAGCTGGTTCTGCAGTGCTGCACACGTGGGCCTGGCCTTTCTGCACATGCCTGTAGAGTCCTGGGTACGTGCACCGATGCCTAGCACAACTTCTACTCATTTTTTCTTGTGATCATGGCATAGAGAAAAATTGTGCTCATTTAGAATTGCACAAAGATATTAGGTCTTTGGCAGAGGGCCCAGAACATGTTGTTATTAGAATAAAAGAGGACAGGGAGTAATCTCTCATACATCTTGAAATATTTAAAGGCTCACTAAGCCCTTGGTAACTCAGCACAGAGACAGTCAGAAAGTTTGTGTGAGCCTGTGATATGTTCAGGAGATAGCTAAGACTTAGTACCATTCCACTCTTCCATTCTTTTTTTTCCTTTGTGGCCTGAAATTCGTTAAATAAAGGGTTTTAAGGAGTGGTTGTTAGCTTTGCAAAATAGAATAAAAGATCAAATTAACTTTCTAGACCACCTCAGAGTGCTGAGGTTCCCTGAAGTCAGGCCAGCATGGATACGCCCTGTCCTTCATGGAGCAGGAGGGAGCTGAGTGCTATGTATGGTTGGTCCAGGCCTACCTTTTACAGACTTGGACACTGAGGCCCAGCCAAACTTTTCTCTTGCCTGGGGTAGCTGTGCTGTCTGCTCAGGCTTGAAGCAGTGAATTAGACAGGGGGTTTTACAGTGCAGACTAGAAGTATAGTTCTTTTTTTTTTTTTTTTTTGGAACCGGGGATGGAACTCAGGCCCTTGCGCTTGCCGAGGAAGTGCTTATTCCACTGAGCCATCTCCCCGGCCCCTTAGAAGTATAGTTCTTAAGTGCCTCTCTTTTGAAAGCTTCAGATTTTCCAGAGAATCTGATTTCTAGTTTGATGCTAGTATGTTACTAGATCTGAGATGTCCTCACTTTGGACCCTGTCGAGTAACAAGTCAGGCTTCTTTCAGCAGCATCTGACACTTCCCACCTCGCAGTTACCAAGTTACACTTTTCTGGATTTCAATCCAGTGTCGACTGGATTTAGGGACACTGTAAGTTTGGACTTGCTACTTCATGTTTCTGAGTCATAGTTTGTCCATCTGTAAAGTGGAGGTAAAATCTGTAATGATTTAAATTTGAATGTGCTAAACAAGAGAGTGAGGGTATTGCTTAATTCAGTGTTTGGCTGAATAACTTTTAATCTAGTTAAAAAGTTGAGCAATATTTGAATAGGCTGTTCCATGGCTATCTCTGCTTTGTTGAAAAATGTAAGGGAGTTTTCTACCCCACAGACCCTGCATTATTTCTTTCACGTGTAACAGCCACCCGTTTGGGAAAAGAATTTCAGTTCATCTGGCACTTACTGCCTTTGTACAGAGAGCATTTAAAGCTAGAGCAGAAAGACAAAGGCAGACAGAGAGACAAACAGACCAACAGACACACACTTACATGCTCAGATGCAGAAAGACAAATATAGGGACAAGGAGGGTAAAGAGGTTCCCGTTTCCTGCTGCTTCCATGTGCTTCTGAGTCCTTGATGCAAACAGAACCTTACATATCCCCGGAGCCTGGGCTTCTCCTGGCCTGCTCTGTCCAGGTTCCAGGAAGTGTTCAGAGATGTGACATGTCAGTGGGCTTTAATCAGTTGCTCCGTGTAAGGTTTTCCCTTCTTGGCAGCTTGACCGTGGACTTAATAGCACCCACTGCTCATGTCTGAAGCCAAGCTCCTGCTGGGACTCTGTGCCTTTCTGTGTCTCTGTACTTCTTTCGAATGTAAACATTTTATGTCCACATCTCCAACTGCTTATCCTCTACAACTGACATTTGATTACTGGATTACTGTGCTCATGTGCTTAGAAATGTCTGCCTCAGTCAGATGTCTGCTTTCAGTTGGAATCAGAAAAGGTTAGAATTTAAAAAGATCAGCTCGTCTTTTTTTTTTTTTTTTTTTTTTCATATCAGACAAGCGAAGACAATGAGGCCCATAGAATGGAAGTGAATGATCTAGAACCACACAGCAAAGAATTAGTGTGGTTAAGACAACTTGGATCTTTTCATTACCACTGTAGAAGTGTTTCTAACATGTCTTAGGAACCGTCTTTGGCAGGCTAAAAATCTACTCCCCTGGTATCTTCAGTTATGTGGTTTAGGTGCCCCATACCAACTGCACTAAAGAAACCTAACTATACAAATTCTGACTATACAAATATTAATTCAAAGTATTTCATTCAAAATTAAAAGACTTGAAGGTTTCCAGGTTGTATATGAAAACTTTCACCTGACTTGACAACTTCCATCCATGCAAGCTTAATTTAATCTTGTTTAAAAGCTCTCTTAAGCATAAAGAAATAAAAAGTTCATTTCTGAAACTGTTTTCAGGATATAAATTACTTTGTCAGAAAATCCAGCCTTAAATTTCTGTGAAATCCTCTGTGCAGTGATTAAAGCTCATTTCTCTGTTAGTCACTAGCTGAGAGTTTGAAGTTCTTTTTAAATTTTCCTTTTTTAAACCATATTAAAAAATAGATTTAGCTGTGTGGAACCGATCTAGTAAATCACTATTCAGCAGGAAGTGTTCTTAGATTGGAGTGGAAAATTCTGAGGAATCTGAGAAAACACATGCAAAATACTGGTCTCCCACATAACCAGACTGCAACCCGAAGCCAGGGAGTCAGCACAGCACACCATGCTAGCAGAAGGTAGGTAGGAGCAGACCAAGTTATCTTTGAGAGGGGTGCGCAGACCTAGCCATGCCCACTGTCCATGGTTCTGAAATAAGGGCTGCTCATGGAAACCATGGGCTGCTGTCCAACCTTCCCTACAAATCTTTTTTTTTTTTTTTATCTTGATTTAAAAATGTGTAGTTTTTACGCTGAAATGCAAGTACTGCTTTTTCCTTCAAACATAAACGTATTTTTCATCTTCGTATGTCCCCCATTCATGTTACATAGGTTTAGTGGAACCTCCCAAAAACATTAGAGGCCCCTATTTTTAGTCACTAAAAACACAAGTACTGAAGGGTGTTTTGTTTGTGACAGTGCCATCTTGAGCATTACTGTAAGTTTTCCTATATACCCTACTAGTCACCATCAGTGTTGAACCTGCATTAAACTACTGCGTCCCTCCTGGTCTGTAGGAATAGCAGGTGGCTATACTCTCTCCTAATCTTTCTGCAGAAAGTCCACTTCTTTGTCAATGAATAGGCGCAGTGTCACATGCATGTAATGGCAGTCATTGGCAGGCTTATGCCGGAGGACTGTTTGAGGCCAGTCTGGGAAATGTAGCAAAACTGCATTTTGAAGAAAAGGGTGAAGATCAACGGAAAGATGCATGGTAGACGCATATCTTCTAAAATTAATAAGCATTCTTCTTGCCATATCCAGGCTGTGACTAGCTTGCTGGGAACATCCGTGCCCCTTCACATGTACTCACTGATGAACACACAGTCATAATTCCTTTGAAGGTCTGGTGGTAATGCTGTTTGAACTACTTCTGCTAGTGAAAATTAAAACAGTAACAGTAATATATGTAATCCTTGGGAACAATTCAACAGTGGTTAGTGTGTACCTGGAACTATTTTCTAGTGCTTCATAGATACTAATCCTTTGTAGCAACCCTGTGAGGGTACTACTCTTATGATTTTCACATAGTAGGTAAAATTCAGAGAAGCTAAATAATTTGCTCAAGGTCACACTCATGTGATGGTTTCATTTTAATTCTATCTATAGTAGTAATATGTTGAATCTATGAACAATGAAAGGATTTGAAATCTGTTGTCACCTTGACAGACTGTCGACTTCTGAGCACTCCTGCCAGGTTTTGGAGACACTGAGGTCTCCTTTCTTCAGCTCAGACAGTGTGGATAATAGGAGCTATTATCCAGGTTTTTTTTTTAATGTTATCGGCAGGCCATGTTCTTGATCCATGTGTGAGAGCCCGTGGTGGGAAGCACTGGGTTGCATTAGCACTGCTCTGAGAGCAGGGTGTGGGGTGTGGATGGCCTGATGGGGAGACTGAGGTCAGTTGGTAGGGGTGCTGGCATGGTTGGGGCTATATGAAAACACTGGGTGACCAAGAATATTTGGGAATAATGCCCATGATGAGGATAAGACAGTGGAGAAGATCAACCATAGCTAATGTTTTCCAGAAGTAACTCTGTCAGTGTGTCTGTAGGTCTCTCCCAGAATTGTGTGTTCTTCAACTATCTGTGTGGCTTGCTATTTAAAAATTGTATTTTTCCTTTTCTTTCCCTCCCTTACCCTTCCTACTCTTCCTTCCTTTTCCATTTCCCCCTCCCTCCTTGGTAGCCTTCACATGGTGACAAGACTTCTAATCCTGAAGTCCTGAAGTGGATGAATGATTTGGCTAAAGGTCGTAAACAGCTCAAAGGTAAATGCCACTGAAAGGTCTCTTTTCCCAGAAAAGATTCAGTTAAAATAGTAGAATCTGTTCTGCCCTGGGCATTCTGACTTTGACTCATTTCCTCCATGCCCTCCTACACTCAATTTCCTGCTTAGACTGGGGCCACACTTGACACAAGTGGCTGCGGCTCACTTTCCTTATCCAGGCGCTCCTTATAAACCTCCGTCCAGGGAGACTGAGAGCGCCCCACCCCCATGCAGTGATTCAACCCGGGGACATTTCAGCCTGTGAATCCGCAGCCTTCCGGTTGGGTCTGCAGATGCTGGGAACACAAGGGGCCTGAGAATCGTTGACTTCACAGACCCCACTGCATCGGTGAGGGCGAGTACAGCTAGCGGGCAAGGTTACCTCACTTGGAGGTGGGAAGCGAGGTATAAATCTTGTTTCTCCTGCGTCTCAGGCTAGTTCTTGTCTTCTTCTGTCCCTGCCTGGAGATGGTGGTGTATTAAGTAACTGTAGCTACATTTTAAAGGATAGTCATTATTTATGATAAAATTATTGTCTTCTTCTATCCACACTCTAATTTCCATACTCGGAGACATGGGGATTTTCCCAACTTTCTGGAAGGATAATGATTAACAATGAGAAAGGAATATTAACTAGAATATTAATTCAGTGGCATTAAAATGTAATGATGTGGTGCATTTATAAAATATACAGTGTTTAAATATCAGGCCAGAGTCTAGCTAGAAAAAAAAATCAAAGAAAATGAGCTATGCAATTGAGAAATCAATATAAATGGCCTCATTCAAACAACCAGTCCTCTAGCTCTTTCTGATATGTAATTCACTGACAAGTCCCAAGTGGGTTTTAAAATTTTAATTATCTAAGTTTACATAAACCACATTGCAATAAGGTAATTTCTAGATTTTAAAAGCCGACAGATAAAACTGAAATCTGTCAAGTTGGGGGATGGTGTGTTCCTGCTCCCTTTTCCCACCGTCCTGTATTTGCTTAGGTGCCTGCATGTAGCATGCCTTCCAGAAGTGGTGTATTTCCACATGGGGCTCTTGATAGACTCATAGCTTTGAAAACTTACATCAATAAATCTTTGTCTAGGATGTCAGGTGCTACCATAGGCTACAGGTATAAACTGTGGTCAGTATCAGCTGCCTTCCTCCAGATCTCATCCACTGAAACCCAGAGTTCCTGCTGTGCATGCTCTTCCCCCTCCAGGGGGACCCTGGTCTCTAGTCCCCCATTTGCATACCTTATTGGGTACTTATCGCATGGTGGTGCTTTGGAGCCTGCCCTTGCCCAATGGAAAGTCATTATCAGCATTATTCATTTCTACCAACTTGGATTTAGTGGAGAGAATTCCTCAGAGGCTCTGTTTTCATTAAGTCTAGCGAGCCCTTTCTGCCCTTGGTAATTCATAGTGTTTCTCTTAGAACTAAAGCTGAAGCTGTCAGAAGAACAAGGGAGCACTCCCAAAGGCCTGCTGAGGCACCTGCCCTGTGAGCAACCAACAGTCCCAAGGGAGAATGGGAAGCCGCAAGCGACAGGCCTAGAGCCCGTGTCCTTTGGAGAGACTTCAGATGCTGGGTTGACATGCCTGATGGAGAAGAGAGAGTACTTCCCTGCCCAGGAGGAGCCTAAGGTACTCACCATATTGCCACAGGCCCCCCCCCCCCCGGGCCAGTGAGACCATGCTGTCTGTCAGCCATTGGAGCACTTTGCCACCACGTAAACAGCCCTAGAGAAGGGGCTCCACGCTTCAGCCAGGTGTGCTTCTGGTGGGCGAACAGCCCTGACCTGTGGCATGGTCTCATGGTTCCATGCTGCAAAGCTGTTTCCAGTGTGGCATGTTTATAGAAATCAAATAGCAAAGACACAAAGATACAGCATGTCCATTTGTTCCCCAGTTTTCTGTTCCTCTGTAGTTTTCAGTGTCAGTAAATGGACTCCGCCTTCGAGGGTTCTTTATCCCATCCAACACTTAACATGTTCTTTGAGTTTTAACCAAACTGCTACCTGCTTTACGTAACCAAAATGCTGTTTGCTTTTAGTATATCCATCTCCAGTGCTGTATGATAATCACGCCAGCCACTTCATTGCCCCTTCGCTATGCTTTGGCCCATGATTTAATCACACAGTAATCAAAGATCTTTTGATGTGAGTTAGCTCATATCACTTTTCTGCTTATAGCAATTTAGCAACACTTCTCTGTGCAGCCTGAAAGGTTCTATGTGATACATCCCAATCTAACTTTTGATTTTGTCTCACACCATTCAGTATTCCTCAGATCTAAGAACTCCAAGTACACAGAACACTCTTCCTTCTTTCGAGCCAGTCAGGCATGCAGTCTGTCTGCAGTGCTTGTTGCTGTGGTACTGCGGACCTGCCAATTTTGTTCATGGGCCTTTCCAATCACCTTCCTGAAGAAGGAAATTTTCCTTTTGTTTTCTACAATTTCATCTGTTTAATTTCCTTCCTAGTGCTTATTGCAATCTCTAGTCATTTTGTTATTTCTTTCTTTTTTTTTTTTTTTAAATGCATTTGGTACAGGGTCTCACTATACAGCTAGGTCTCCTAGTGATCCTCCTGCTTTCAGCCTCCCCAGTAACTAGGATTACAGGTGCGTGCTACCAGGCCTGGCCTTGGTGGCCAGCTCAGTGCGCCCGGGGGCAGCGCTGGTGCAGCATGTAGTGCCAGGCATCGAACCCTGGTTGCTGTGCTTGTGTAAGCAGGTGCTTAGTCTGCTAAGCTATCTCACCAGCCCTTGTATCCTAACTCCCAGGAGGGCATGATTTCTATAGCAGTGACCCAATCATCACTTCTTTGTTTTATGCCCCGCATCTTCTTGCAATCCAGCAATTGTTCACCAGCCAGCAGGCAGCACCCATATTGTCACAATGGCTATGTAAGTATTGTTTGTATCTTATCTGTGAGTGAACTAAATCTCAGCAATGAGTTCAACTTGCTGCCTCAGGTCTGGGCAAAGTGGGGTGGGAGCTGTCTTTCTGAGGAACATATAAGTAACAGTCAGGGTTGGATGGAAGTCCCTGGGTCCTTTACAAGTCATCCTTATGTAAATGACAATTATTATTATTTTCAGTGAGCAAGTATCTGATATCCCTTCAGCTAAACCTAGAAGCTCTATAAATGTTAGAGTCCTTTAAACAGAGAACATCTGTAGTAGAGCATGTATGCTTCAGTGTACTAAGCTGCAGTACTGTTTCTGGAGTACTTACCACAGTCAGCCATGAGGTGAAGCCAGAGGGGACTGCAGGGGCCACAGCAGAAGGGAGGGAAGCACTGCGCATGTTCCAGGCAGCCAGTCCTGCTCCTGCTCCCTGTGCACACTGAGATCTCCTCAGATCCCATAACTTTACCCCCGATTGACAGATGACTGGCATGTGAGAACTCCAAGTCCTGCTGGACGTTCAAGTATTACAGCTTCTATTCTGAAGAATGATTTTTCAGGAAACACTTTTTCTGCTGCTTTCTGAAACTTTTGCATCCATGTTTAGTCAGGCTCCACACTAAAGCTGATAAATATTACGAAGCATTGCCTCTTCCTTTTATCTGGGAATGTTTTTAGAGATAATCACTTCTGCTACAGGGAAGTGCTGGTACACTGGAAACAAGCAAATGCCCTCGCCTTCATAATTCTACATGCTACTGTATGCAAGATGTATCTAACTTTTTATTTTTGTTATGGAAATGGAGAAAACCAAGTTGAGTAGCCCAAAACAGCCAGGGAGAGCCAGCCACAGTAGGAATGGGTTATCCTATTTTCAAAGTCAGTATAACAGATAAACCCCAAAAGTTATTGATTTCTATTTCCTGTTCTTGACTTTTCTTTTCTGGTACTGGGGATTGAACCCAGAGCCTTCAAGTAAAACTGAGAGGAGATTAAAGAAGATAGAACTTAAAAAAATATAATGTGAAATGATTTGCTCATGGCTTGACAACTTCCCCATGGAAAACCTCCTGGTCCCCTGTCCTAGGTCATCTGAATGACCAAGGCCTGGCATAATAGCCAGAAAACACCTGCACTTTAGAACAGAATGGCTACTGCACGGTCAGTACAAGTACTTCTGGGTCCTGGTCAGAAAGTTGTTTCGGGAGAAAACTGCCATAGCCCAGCACTTTCACAATGTGCTTATTTTCCTTTCTCCCTGCAGAGCTGATGCCATGTATTCTGAGTAAACCACAGGAACTTATAAATAAAGTCGTACCCTCTAATCATCCCTTGTGTGAACTGTCTCTTAAGGACAGAAGTAAAACTGATGTTCTGTCCTCTGTGCAGTGTGTGGTAGGGAACCATTGCTCTTCAGGGTCAGAGATCCACTCCCAGCAGTTTCTCTGTTCAAGGAACACATCTGGGCCGATCACTGAGTCTTCATGCTTTTCTTTGGAGACTGTGCTTTCATAAGGATCCTAAGAGGAAATTCGTGGCACCGAGCAAAATGCAAGCACGGCATTGTCCCTATGTCCCATTTTAGCCTAGATCTGGGGAAGATTCGCTTCTAAAATGGAAGCCATCACCTAACCTCCCTTTTGGTCACCCTTCTTTATCCTTTAGAGTTAGTTCTAGTTTTTTTGGAATCTAAGGAATATACTAAACACAAAAATCAAATTTGTAAAGAGAAACCAATAATAATTAAGGGCATCATTTTCTGAAGTTTTTTCTATGAAATATAAGTCCCAATGAGATTTTGAAGAACAAATACATTATTTCAATGTTTTCTGAGCTTTGAGTTTTCTCTTCCATGCCTATTAAGATTCTATGGGATACATTTTGATAAGATTTGTTTTTCATGGCAAGATGTGTCCTGATATTGAACTGTTTAAGGAATAATTGGGCTAGAAAATTCAAAGTAAGTTCTAGCTATGATTTAGCCTATTTTAAGTGGCTTTATGTTTATATATACTATATTTAAGTGGCTTTTACAGATAGATAACTTTCTACTGAAAATAAAATTAAAGAGCCTTAGGTAATACATTATTATATCACACACACACACACATTAGAATACATTTTGCCTATAAACTTATGTTGGTCAATTGGTAATAGAGATGGGGATATGTAGGGTTCTGGGAGCACTTTTAAAGTATATGATATGGTTTGGTCCTCCAGAAATTTTTAATATAACAGTTAATTTGTGAGAGGGAATTTCAGAGAAGACAGAGGTCGGCGTGGTACAGAACGGTGTGCGGTTCAGGTAGCAGTGGAGCAGCGCGAGTGTGTCGGGCAGGCTTAGTGCTTGCTCGCAACATTGTCTTTTCCCTCAGGAGTCTCTGGGGACTGTGTGGAAGGCAGAGCTATTTAGTGTTCTTGGGTGTGTGTACTCTGAAAAGATACTTGGGTGATGTTATGAACTATTTCTACCCTTCCATTCCCACTACCTGCTGAGTGCAAACCACTGGCCTATCATTAGAGTGACAATGTTTATAGGAAGTATGTAGCAAACTAATGCAGGCTACACAGCAGTACTGTGGGGAGAAAAATCAAAGGCAAGAAGAGGAGTTCAGTCCCTTTGGATAGGAAGGTAGATAAGGGGACAAACAGACACTTATATGCACCGTGTGACCTACTGATAACAGTGTTTGGGAACGAGCAGAGGGGCACAAAACATATCAGTGCACTAGAGGTTACCCAGTTCTTCTTTTAGTTTACAGGAACTTAGAAGAATGAACTGAGATAACTACCTTTGGAACTTTGTAATTTTAACCTCTTCTGTCTGGTAGGAAATGGAGGATTCAGGAATGGTAAACGTTTTGCACAAAGTAACACTTTATATCCCAGCAGCCACATCCGTCAGCATGTAATCCAGTCGGATGATGCTGGAGACCTGTACACAGTTGGTGTCTGTGACTATGCCGTGAGATTTCAGATCAAATAAGGACTTTGGAAGAAAAAGTAACAGACTATGATCACTCATTGGTTTAAAAATGCTCAAAGGAGAGCATCTTAAGCTTTACAGAATCCTCCAGAAGGCCTTACGACTCGCTTTCCTGACTTGGAGCTGTCATTTAGGGAATATTTCCTAGAAAAACTGGCACATCTAGTACACACAGTACCATCTGCGTTTCCTTTTTCCAATTACTGTTGCATATGTTAGTACTATAATCCTTCATCTGGAGGCTCCAAAACCTTTTTGTTGCCTGCTGAGAACACCGACACGTTTTCATTTTTGCCTGAGAAAGGAACAACAATGTACTTCATGTTTTTCAGGTAACCAAGCAGGACAAGAACCTCATAAAGCCCCTTTATGATCGATACAGAATTATCAAGCAAATCTTGTCAACGCCTTCTCTTATACCAACAATTGTAAGTCAGGATAATTGCATGAGATGGTAACCTGCTTTGTACTGATGTTGAGTTAGCATGTTAACAGCATGAGAGTTATAAAATAACCATCCTGGGCATGTATATCACTAACAACACCAGTTGTTATTTCAAAAAGTGGAAGTCTGGCCATTCTGAGGCTCCATAACTGGCAATGAGAAGCCCACTGTGAAACACAAATACATTGGAAACCAGTTTTAAAATACGCTTTTAGTACCCACTGAGGAGAAGAATGATGGGTCGCAGTTTGGTCTCATCTAACTTATAAAGGAGAAGCACAGACCAGCTAGGTAAACAGAACCTCTTGATTTTGTGTATGTTGATTTTTCTCACTAAGAAAACTGACAGTATTTTGCTATTATTTACCATATTTTAAGTGGCTTTATCTTATATATCTGATATTTAAGTGGCTTTTACATATAAATAACTTTCTACTGAAAATAAAAATGATGTGATGTAACATTTGCTTTCGGTATCATGACCACACTGTACAAACTATGAATAGATTTATTCCACTAGAAAATAGGAATACTGAGATGGGGCAAGTTACTTTTAATACAGACTGATTGGGAATATAGGACTAGGAAAATAATGTAGACCCTTTTCCATCAGTATCAAAATGGCCAGCTAAGATAGCAATATAGAAATGAATAAATATTAAATGTAAATTGAATATCTTAGTAAATGTACACTTAAATATTTTCAAAGACATTAAAGGAATAATAAATTCATAGTCTTTCAATTTTTCCAATAAGAAAGCATAATTTAAAGTAGAATGCAGTTTTCAGATTTCCTAGCAAGCAAATCATTTGGTTGTAGTGATGGTTAGAGCACATTAAGATGTAACCCACTCTGCTTGGGCTCCAAAGAGCCTTCCTTTGAATCGCTCCATCTCAGAACTATCCTCCATGTCTAAAGCCCCGCACTGGGCCCTCACTGGGGTATTCTGCATGACACATCTTGGAGGCCACAGCGTTGGAACGTGGGAGGGGGGAAAGGCTGGGCGTGCGCCGCGTGCCAGGGAGCGTGGCCAGCACTCTGGCTCAGACTGCATGTCTTTGCTCATTGACTTCTTTAGTTCTTCCAAATACAACTGAGATAGCAGCCCTGTTCCTTCCATGCTGGTTCTCAAGAGGCACTTGAGCATCTTACTGGTTTGCATGTACCTACTTACGGTCTTCTGCCCTACTTTTTACTTTTTTGTCCTTCTCAAGAGGTACATGGCATTTTGTGATTTGGCTTAACTGTGCTTCTGATAAGCAGGAGGAAGAGGACTCCGATGAAGACTGCCCACAGGGAAGCCAACACCCATTACCAGACCCGGGCTCTCGCCTTCCTGTTGGCGATCACCTCACCTACTCTGAGGCCGAGCCTGTGAGGGCCCTGATGCCAGATGAGAAGAAGGAAGTGAAGCAGCCAGCTCTCTCCATGTCCAACCTCCACGAGGCCACCATGTGAGGGGGGGCCTGAGTGCAGATGCTCTTTTGAACTCCAGGAGTTAGAAAGGTCTGGGGTACCCTGTGGTTAGAACAGCTGTTACTCAGATGATGGTCACTGCTCTGAAGCAGTCATTCCTAACTTGTGAAATTAATGGACTCCTCTTTAAGAAAATGCCTACGTATCATTTCTTAGTTCAGAGAGTTTTTGAAACCATATACCAATTCTCAAAAAGGGCAAAATTTGTAGTCATATCTACTTTTTTAGGGTATTATTCTCATCTCAAGGATTTTGCCAATCTTCCATTCTGTGGGCTGAAGGCAGATTCTCCATTGATACTTTCTTCCTTTTGTGTCTCGCATTTAATCTGTCGTTACACACTGCTGCATACGCCTTCAGGGTGTCTGGCTGCACTTGCTCCCATGTGCTCCTGTGGCCACCCCCTTCCTTTCCTTAAAATGGCCTTGGTCCATTTACTTCCTCTCTGTCCTGTTCTCCTTTCCTGTGACATTGTTTCTGTCAAGTAACTTCCCGTCTTTAGGGTTGGACTTCTGGTCAGGCTCTGTTAGCCATCCCCACTCAAGAGGCTTTTGTGAGCAGAATACTGGCCAATCTCAGTATACCTTTTTTGAACAGATAAATCAGTTTATGATCTCACCATTGTGCTACTACTCATTACTGACAGATCTCTTACCCGATACAGGCCTGTACTTCTTGACCATCTCCGAGAAACTAGGGCTGACAAGAAGAGGCTAAGGAAAGCCCTCAGAGAATTTGAAGAACAGTTTTTTAAACAAACAGGAAGGTGAGTGTGGGTCAGGATTTCTTAAGCTTCTAATTCCTTTTTTTTTTTTTTATTTTAGGGAAGGGTCTACAGGGTGTTCAGAGTCTCACAACTAGATTGGACTTGTAGTGATCCACCTGTTTACAGCCTCCCAAGAGCTGAGATGACAGGTGGGCACCACCATGCCCAGTCTCAACTGCCCTCTCAGTGCACCCTGGCGGTGGGGCTAGCACAGCAGGCCCAGGGACTGAACCCCAGGTCCCTGTTCCTGCTTGCAGGTACTTTAATCCACTGAGCTATTTGGCTGGCCTTATGCTTCTAATTCCTAAAGAACTACTGTTCAGAATGTGCTGTGATGTTTTAGCAGGGACAATGGCTTTACAAAAGATATAAATTATGTCCATACTGGCTTAGACTCAGGATTTGTCCGATATAACATTCTGATAATGCTGTTATTAGAAATATTATATGGGAGACTGTTGTTACAAAGTGTAATATCAATCTTTAAGAAATAAGGGATGTACTCTAAATAACCCTAACTTTTCATAATAAATCTGAAAGTACTGCTGAATTTATTTAAGCTCTTAAAAAATGACTTTTTAAATATATATAACTTGTTTTTAACTTAGTTAACACACTGTTCACTACTTTTAAAATAATAATTTTTCCTTTAATTATCTCCTTTAAACTTCAGGATCTGGCCCTAATTATTTTATTTCAGGATTTGGTCAAAAGTTCATGGCTATTCTTCCTCTCTCTTCAATGTTTAGCTGTATCTTCTATTTGTCCTTTAATTTTCTGTGTCAACTCAAATCCCCTTACACATTCCATTAGTTTCTGCTAATTTTTAGTGCATCATCAACAAAATTATATAATCAAGAAATAAGGGTTGTTGAGCCTTTTCTCAAGACAGCGAGTCAAATCACTTAGCTGTCTTGAGCATGAGTTTCTGCTGCTAAGAGATGAAGTGATTAGACTCCTGGGACAATCTGAGAAGCTACAGCTGCAATGTGGGACATTCACCTTAAATTTTTTTTGGAAGGATATAATTTTCTCAAAGTAACAAAGTTATTAAGTAGCCAAGATGAGACAAAGCTCTTGGATTTTAGAGCATAAGCATTAATCACTAACACATGGCTGGGTCCTTGGTGCTGCACCCCACCTAAGGATTTGCCTTTCCTGATTTGCCTTCAGTTTAGCAGTATAAGTGTTGCCCTGCTGGGGAGGAATTGTTTTCTAAAGGTCACTGAAAACATTTACTCCCTTCTTAGTCCTTGGCAGATTTCTCATTTCAGTTCACCAGAGCTATTCATTAGGAGTGGACCTAGTAAGTGAGAAGTGAGAAGCTGTTTGTTTATTTATTTTTGGTACCAAGAATCAAACCTAGAACTTTGGGGCCAGGAAGATAGCTCAGTGAACTAAAGAGCCTACTTAGGCAAGCTTAGGAAGTTCAGGTACCACAGCTCGATCACTGGTACCACAGGCCACGCCAGCCTTGCCCCCAGGGCAGACTGAGCTGGCCAGAGTCTGGGCGTAGTGGTGCATGCCTGTAATTCCAGTACTGGGGAGGCTGAAAATAGGTGGATCACTACAAGTTTGAGCTTCGTAATGAGAACCTGTAACAACCAAATACATTTAAAAAACAGTAAAAAAAAAAAAAAATCTAAAACAATGATTTATAAGGCTAGCCAGATAGCTCAGCAGACTAAAGTGCCTGCTTAGGCAGAGCACAATGGCTGGAGTTTGATTCCTGGCCTTCAGTGCCAGCCCCATCACCGGGGCGTGCTGAGATGGTGACTGAGATGGGGCGTGTTGGCACATGCCTGTAATCCCAGTGCTTGGGATGCTGAAAACAGGAGAATCACTAGAGTCCAATCTATGTAGTGAGACCCTATACTAAATACATAAAATAAAATAAAAAATAAAATAAACCTAGAACTTCGTGCTTGTCAGGCACATGTTGCACCACTGAGCTAAATCCCTGGCCCATGAGAAGCTCTACCTGGAATCTCCATTTTCAGTTTGCTACAAACCCAACTTATTTACATTTTTTTGATAAATAATCTAGTGGGAGGCAGCATATTAAATGTAGACAATTTGTTTTCTTTTACCATATGTTTTCATTTTACAAAACATTTGTGGCTCTTTACCTGCAAAGCCTTCTTTAGCATACTGACTTTGTGCCGTGTGCCAGTATGTGCGACTTACATTAAATCTCCTCCTATCCGCAGCTTTAAGTTGAAGGTATTCTATGAAAACATCTCATTCAAGGAGCTTCTGACGTAGGGAGCTATTTTCAGTATTCTAAATCTAGTCATTGCATGTAAGAAATAGTCACTTTAAGATGTGCATATATTATTTTCATAACTTTGAGTTCCCTAGGTAAGTTTATATTTTGAACTGTTTTTGACAGCTTGTTGGGAGGTTCTAACGAGGGAACACAGCTACCTGTATACCCTTGCCTGAGACAGTGGTCCTGCTCCATTGGGGGTGGTTGTCCTCTTTCAGCACGCTGCTTTGGGAGGGATGCACATGGAGTGGGGGGATACCTGCCCAGCCAGCCAGATCAGCAGAAGCAACCCTGGTGCTCAATGGGGTGAAGATGTCATGGCCAGATCGCCTTCACATCCTTCATCTATTTTGAACCCCAGAGACTTACCCTATAAACCTAAGGAGGTTAATTATGTTCTACATATAGCATTCTATTACACTGTGATTTCTAAACCTACTTCAGATATTCCTGTAAGTACTTGGTAAGGTTGTGTGCCCTCTTGTGGTGATACATTTCATTTAAATGAGAAAATAAAGATTTATTATAACTAAAAGCAAATTGTTGAATGGCTAGGACTTATGGACTCTAATCTTGATTTCCTAACACATTTTACTGGGACTATCCATAAGGTAAAATGACCCTGCAAATGGATTACTAAAACTTTTAAGACACTGTTAATGTTCCTGATAACATACAGTATGCAGTAGTTAGGCTGCATTGGTATGGAAATGTATACAATGTTCTATGTCTAGTCTTAGTAAAATTCATGTGCAGAGGTGAACTACTGTAATTTTGACTCGTAAATTTGGTCTGTTAAGGAACATGACTCTTCTACATATTGGCAAAAACAGGTATTATAAGAAAACATGAGGTTGTTTCAAGTTTGTAAGAGAGCTAGCCACTGGATGTTTTTTCTTGTAGCCATAATTTTGTGACTGACTTGTGTTATCAAATTTCTGTTGTATTTTCCTGTTGACATTTAAAAAAATAAGTTTCATTATGTGGGCTGAAAATCCTGCACAAGTGTGGGATGTGGCAAATACCGGGAGAACAACTAGCCAGGGAGAGCCTTTACACTCTAGTTCTTGTTCTCATCTTTCACTTGCCCATTGTCATGTCTAAGCAAGGACCATTTATTTGCAAAAGACCTATGACAGTCACATCCTCAAATGATACTATTATTTAGAAACATAGAAGAGCAAATATAAGTGCAGGGGAAGGAACGGAGACAATAGCAAAATCAAGTGGAAGCTGCTGCTCTGTACTTTTGTATCTGTTAAGCACACAAGTATATGGAAAGGCTCGGTTCACCATGGACTAAGGAATCTGTTTTCTCCCCGCAGAAGCCCACAGAAGGAAGACAGGATACCAATGGCAGACGAGTACTGTGAATACAAGCACACAAAAGCCAAACTGAGGCTCCTGGAGGTCCTAATCAGCAAGCAGGATGTGGCCAAAACGATCTGAGGTTCAGGACATCGCCGTCCTCTTCCCCCAAGATAAAAATCAAGCTTACTTTCCCGTGCCCTGTGTGTTAAGTAGCTTTGACATATTGAGAATGAAGCACTTTAGTGCTAGTTATTTTTAAGAAAGGACAGCAAGTTTAACTGTATACTCTACTAGGAAAAGGGAATTAAACAGGGAAAAATGCAACAGGTAACCATCTCATTGGGAAAAAAAATCAGCTTCCTCCATGCCAAGGACAAAACTCAATCAATAGAAGTATTTCCAAAAACTAATATTTGATAAATCTAAGTGACACATACATGGGCCACTTGTTAGAGAAAGTTTATTTAGTGCCCAAAGATTGTTTATGTCAGTGTATGGAAAAGAGCATGATTTTTTTTAAATCAGAAAAGGGAAAGAGATTCTGATTTTATAAAGCAAGGAAAGCCTCCAGTAAGAAAATAGTTTAATTGAAATTTCAAATTGATTTTTAAGTGATACAACATCTACTGCCTCATCCCTTAAGTCTGACAGACGTTCAGTGCCCTAAATAGAAGTGTCACAGCTACTTTTATTTCTCTATAAAGATAGCACATTATTTTATCAGTTATTTGCGCTTTTACATTTCCAGTTACCAAAGTTCATTCTGATAGCATGTACCTTGTGAATTATCTTTGTCTATAACTGACAGATGTTTATATTAAAATATTGTATTAAAATTTTAAAATAGGTATTTTGGATAGATGTGTCTTCAGTATATAATCTAATGTGACCATAGTATTATTACTAATCTTTTTGCTTATTATAAGAATATATAACTATTTTTCCATCAGGAATATGCATTTTTCTTAATGTTGCAAGGTCTGTACTTTGTAAAGTGAAAAATCTTTCTCATGAGCTGTACTTATTCTTTATTCTGTACAAAATGAAAGACTTAGAAACTGTTTGCCCTGGTACCTTGGGAAAGGACTCAGAATATTTTATTTTCTTCATCAATTTTAGTCTATTCTAGTTTGTGTTATTTTGTACTAAAACACATTTGTTTTTTAAAAACAAGTAAAATGCTGACATTTTCTTTCACGTATGCATCATGTTTGTATCTGTATTTTCTGTAATGTGTAAGCATGATACTGAAGAAATTCACATTTTCATATAGTTTAGGTGGGAAGAATGTTGATGATCTCAAAAGCAAATTAGAAACTTATTTTCTCTGTATTTACCTGATTTTATAACTTTTATGAATGAGAAAAATATCCTTCATAAATTTGTTTAATTGAAGTCATCCACTTGTAACAGGACAGATACACAACTACTTGAGGTTTACAAATTACATCTTTGATAAGGGAAATGGTTTTGTGACAATGTATACAGTTGCTATTAAAATGTAACTCCACATATTCGATATGATTGTAAATATTTTATACAATACAAATAAAATATTTTTCTATTATATTTATTATGCTGAAACACAGTAGTTGTTTCCTGTTAGCTAATATAAATAACATAAATAACACTGTCAAATAACAAGTTGGAAGTGCTGACAACTCTAGGCTTTAAGATTTAACTCATGCTGCAATTACACCCTTTCATGCGATTTGGAGTTATTCCAATATTTGTTCAGTAGGTTAAAATGAATGCATATTTAAACACCATTTATAAGCCATTATTTTGTATTTTGCTAAAGCAGTCTATATAATTGTCTTGTTATGTTTGGCATATAGGAAAAATAAAAACATTGCAGCATCTAGGCAAATAAAGTGTCAGGAGAACTTAGGATATTTGATCACTGAAAGTAGTAGGAAAGGTGGGGAATGGGAAACACTAAATCAGCTCTGGATGGAGTTGGAGAAGTGAGTTTGTTTTCGGTGATGGTGGCATGTGCATGCTTCAGTGGAAAACATCTCGTGATGAAAATGAACCACAGAGGAAAAGAAGGGGCTGAGTAAGGATAAGAAAGGGGCATTAGCGTCCAACACTGATATTACAGGTTTTGCAGCTGGGATCTTTCTTTGCATTTGCAGTAGACAAACTCATGAGCTGATGACCAGTGATTTCTGCCACAGTGCCCAGAGAAAGATCCACAGGGTCGGTGTAAATAACTTCTAAAATGACATCCTGGGCATGGTGGTAAACCAGCACCCCATCTTCTTCTGTACAGGTCAAAAATTTATTATCCTTGGAATTTAGTTGAGGAAGCCGCTGCTTACAGAATTCATCTCCTGGTGATCCCATGGGGGCGATAACCAGAATCACATAATGATAAGCAGTGTACATACAGTAGAAGTCCCCAAAGTACAAATTAGTATTGGGGTTAAAAAGTTTTTCTGCTGCAATCTCAAACCTGTATCTTCCATAAGGTGAATCCTGAGGCGGCTTCCCAGTGTTGAATTCAGTGCTGCAGCTGAAGAAGATGCCTTCTAATTTTCCACTGATAGGAGAGCCATGGCTACCACTGTTATCTTTGATGGAAGGCTGCATAGCATTCCCATGGTGCTCTCTGCAGGAGAAATCACCATGCTTATTACAATAGTGGAAAACGGACTGAGTTATACATTTCAATAGTCCAAGAGTCAGCCACCCAATGCTGGATGCCTAGATGTCCATCTGACCATCAGGGGATGGTCAAGGCTTTTGGCCTTGCCTAGCATGATGAGGATTCTACTCTGAATTTACGGGCGATCTACAAATTAAGAAGACCTTTAACATAATAAATTTATGGGATAGAAAAAAATCAAACTACATCTACAAATCTTACTTCTTTTTAGTTTTCACTAGGTTTTAGCAGTGGTTTTCCAAAAAGAAAGCTAGGCTAACATATTGCTAAACATTCGAATACTGATATATATGTTGAATGATCCTTTAAATATGCTAGCACATATTCATCAAATGAGTACTGTGTACCTGGGCAAGTACCATCCCGCCCTTGGGTTCATAACTATGCTTGTTGGTGCCACAGCTCAGGCACCTCCTGCCTTCATTCTGAGAATCCTAGAAAGGCCTCTTTTGTGTCCTGTGGTTTAGAGTGGTGACTGGTGGCACCACACCCTTGGCATCATACCTAGTTACCCTGAGTCTCTGAAGGACAGTCCTCTCCACATGCTGTACTACAACAATAAAAGCTGCTCTCACCATAGCCTGCTCTATGATTTCTGAGGAATCTATACCTATACCTTTGAAAGCCCATATTCATTGCAGTCATACAAGTGCCTTCATGCTCACTTCAGATATTAGAGAAAGAAAAATCACACAGACTACAGTTTAGACCTCCCCCATATCCAAATCTAAAACATCTACCAAATGAACCCTATATCCTAAGTGAGAAAAATTACACAAAAGCTACCTCAAAAAACTGAAAGAGGCAAATGTCACATCAGATATCAACATAAGGGAACAATGTGAAAGGAACAAGATACCTCTGAAGAAAAACAGTGATACTCCAGAAATAGATTACAACTTCAAATACCTGAAAATAAAACCAACATAATGAATCTAAAGAAACCAAGGTGAAGGAAAGGAAGAAAGTCACTGAAAATCTATTTCATGAAACAATAGCTGCTAGTTTCCCCAATTTTCAGAGATACAGACATTAACTTATAAGAAATGTGAAGGATCCCATCTACATTCAACCAAATAGATCTTCACTAAAACATATCAGAGTCATAATGACAAAAGTACAACACAGAATCCTGAAAACAGCAAGAGAAAAGCAGCAAGTCACATATAAGGGAATGTCTCTTAGACTTACAGTAGATTTTTCAGCAGAAAATTTTCAGACCTGGAGAAAATGGAATAATACTGCAGTGAACAGCACAACCGAAAGATGTATCTGTATTCCTATGAATACAGATGCAAAAATGGTCAGAAAAGCAACAAACTAAATTCAACATTTTACCATGATCAAATACAATTCACCCCAGAGATATAAAGATGCTTCAGTGTACTCAAACCTATAAATGTAATATGACATATCAACAGAATAAAGGATAAAGAACATGTGATCTTTTGAGTAGATGTAGAAAAACAGTAAGATTCAACATCTTTTCTTGATAATAATAATAAAGAAAACCAAGTTAGGTATCAGGAAGAACATATCTCAAAATGCTAAAGGCTATATATTAAAAGTACACAGATACTATCATATTGATTGGAAAAAGCTGAGCCTTTTCTCCGAGTTTGAGAACAAGACAAAGATATCCACTTCCAATACTCATATTTAGTCTGTTACTAGACATCTTTGCAAGATAAATTAGGCAAAAGAAAGAAATTAAGAGCACCCCAACTGAAAAATTAGTTACATTGTCCATGTTTGCAGACATGATTTTATAACATAAAAACCTAGGTACTCCATCAAAAGAGCTGTTAGCACTGAAAAACAAATTTAGTAAAGGAGGATACAAAAATCAACATAAAGGGCCCTGTTGGTTAGCATAGTTGTTTAAGTGTCTGCTTATGCAAATGCAGTCAGGCGCAGGATACTGGCTCAATTCCCCAGTTCTACCTGCTTTTCCAGACTCGCTCTTAAGGCAGCCTGAGCCAGTCCAAAAAACAAAAACAAAATCAAAAAATCCTTCTGAACAAAAATCAACATAAAAAGCACAGCATTTTAATATACCAATAATGATCTTAAATTGAAAACTGAATTGAATTGGAAATCAAATTGAAAAAGAAATTAAAGCAAGCTCATTCACAATAACTACAAAATAAAATATTTAGAAATAATTTTAACCAAGAAGTGTAAGATCTTACCAATGAAAATTTATTATAAATACTAATGAAAGAACTTATAAAGGATATAAAAAATGGAAAGGTATCATGTTTCAAGTAGGAGGAAATGTCAAAATGACCATACTACCCAAAATAATCTATACTCATCAAAATACCGATGACTTTCCTCATAGAAATTTTTAAAAAAACCTTTAAGCTTATATTGAACAACAAAAGACCCACAATGCCGAAGTGACCTGAGCAAACAAGCAAGCCTGGAGTCAGAACGCCTGATGCCCAAGCGTACTGCAAGCCACAGCAACCACTGTGGCCTGGCACTGGTATAAAAACAGATATGCAGACCAACAAAACAGAATACAGAACCCAGAAATGAACAAACATTGATGGAATTAACCTTTGAAAAAGTTGCCAAGAACATACAGTAGAGAAGACAGTCTGTGATAAAATGATGGTGGCAAAATGGAATACACATATAAAAACAGATGAAGATTTGGAAATCAACTCAAAATATATCAAAGATCTAAATGTAAAGTAGGAAACCATAAAATTACAACAAGAAAGTGTATGGAGGAACACTTCAACATACTGAGACAGGCAGTGGTTTTTCAGATGAAACTTCAAACTAAAGGCACCAAAAATGGTATTATATCAAATCAAGAAGCTTTTGCAGAACAACAGAAATAACAGAATTAAGAAACAACCCTTAGAAGGGCTGGCCAGATAGCTCAGCAGAAGAAAGTGGAGCACAGCGGCTGGGGTTTGATCCTCAGGGTGCCGTGCCAGCCCCACCCCTGGGGCAGGCTGAGACAGCAATTGAGACTGGGCATGGTGGCAGGTGCCTGTAATCCCAGCACGTGGGAGGCTGAGCACAGGAAGATCACTATGAGTCTGACATACATAGTGAGACCCTGTAGACCCTGTACTAAATACTAAATAAGACCCTTAAAAAAAAGAAACAACCCTTAGAAAATGAGAAAACATTTGCAAAATATTCATCAGACAAAGACTTAGTGTCTAGAATATAAAAGGAATTTAAAAAGCTAAACACAGGAAAAACAAAACAATCTAGTTAGAAAAATGGGGAAAGGAATTCCTCCAAAGGAATACGAATGGCTGAGAAGCACTGTACACTAGAGGGATGCGGTACTCCACTCACACCACCAGAGAAATCAAATCGAAATCATGATCGAATCTCAGTTAGAGGAGCTATTATCAGGAACACAGTAGACGCTGCAGGGAAAGAGGAGCCCATACACTGTCTATGGGAGTGTAAATGTGTACAGTCACTGTGAAAATAGTGAAGACATAGCCATAAAAGTTAGTAACAGAACTAAAAGATGATCCAACAATTCCACTACCTCGTATATAGCCGAAGGAGACAAAATTATACCGCAAAAAATACTTGTACCTATATTTATTGCAGCAATACCTATAAAACTAAA